AATAACAATAACTTTCAATGTTTTACACATATTTCAATATTGTTAACATTGTCAAAAATATCTCGAGCAATTTCTCACTGAATTAGTGCCAAAAGAACATTTTTTTTAATTGAAATTTTTTCGTAAAAATAATTACAAGTGTTTAGCTTTACGCGTATTTTTTATAATATGATTATAATTAGTCATTGACTGACAACTGAACTGTCAGTGATAAGGCACTGTAAAGTATTAGCTAACTCCAATTATCTACTAGGTTAAATGAATTAAAACGTGAAAACTTTAAAACGTTTCCACAGAGTTGTTTTAAGTAAAAACTTAATGCGATTGAATGTAATATGCTTCTGCGTTGTCTAAGACAACAACGTATTTTAAATAAAACTTAGATAATCATTTGTCTATCAGACATTCAAACTTAGATGACAGTAATTTTTATTCATTTAGTTCGTCCAAGTTTTGAAAATTTAACCTCGTATACTTTCACGAGTTTGAAGATTTACAAGTAGCACTCTTTTAAAACAATATCTGTAACACCCACTTGGTCAACTCGATTTTTCAACATTCCTGTAAAAATACATAAAATACACTATGATATATTAATGTTACCTTTTTGCTCCCGACCTCACACGTGTTTATTCGACCAAATTGCCGTAGAGCAAATGCACTACAGAATACCACAGAATGTGTATATTGTTTATACATTTTCGAGTTAGCAAACTGATACAACAGCAGCTACAGTATACATTATAAAATTTAACGTGAAAAATATTACATTTTCAAGTAGCTCTGACCGTGTTAAATTTATTATGTTTTTCCCTTGTATAATCGCATTATAGATACTGCGAGATAGTAATAAAAATATTGCTTTCTTTTGATTTCTGAAACAACACGCAATTAACATACTATATTTTTTATTAAGCGTTTCAATGAAATATTTGAAATTCATACTGTGCTTCATTTATTTGAGGACGAGNTCATTTATTTGACGACGAGTCAAGGAAGACAGTGTCACCCAAACATCTTGTAATCGACTTTTCTGATCATTTTTTGTGCCTAGCTGATCAGTTCATCGTGACCCTACGGCCATACTTCATTTTTAAACTCACTGGCGTAATTGATACAAATGGTTTACAGTGTACACTATACAAATCCTCCACCTTATAGAAGCTCCTGATATTACTAGATAAAAACGTGACATGCCGAAATTCGTACAACTCGTAGACAAGCTGATCCACGTGTGTGTCATTCCCTTCTGAGCTGATTGATGATACATATGTAGACAGTTAAACTTTGGTACAGTAAGTTTACCTACAGTTTTTCAGCACGCTCTTGTCTACCGTTCCGTCTCTCTCACTAGCTTTACCTCTCTACCAAATACCTACGAGCAATCGATCCATGCCCAGTGAAGTGACCACGACCGACAATAATACACGCCTGGAAAATCACGTGACTGACAAAAACATCAACAAATATATACAAATCTGACTAACAACGGTATACACATTTAGTTCAATTATTATGTTATTGTGAATTTTTTTTTAATAATTATTACCTTCTTAGACTACGTTTAAAGCATGTTTTTTTTTTAATTATTCTAAAAATAACAATTAAAAATTATTATATATATTTTTTTCAAAATTTCCAATAGCTATTTTTCGACACTTTTGTAACAAAATCATTTAAGTAGTCCATGATAATTTTAGGACAAGTGCATCTCAAATTTAAAAAATTTTAATTCATAGTGTGAGTATAAAACATGAACGGCGTAATTAGTACATCATTTCGAGCTGCGCCAACCCAACTAAGTACCCACTTTATATATTTAAATACTAATAACTCAATAAGTACTCGTCTTTAAGATGTCGTCTACCTACAAAAATTTTAAATAAAATCTAAAACATGGATATTTTAAAATTAAAAAAAAACATTTTTTATTTTGTTATTAATTTGATTATTAAAAGAATAATTAATAAAATATATGCTTTAAACGTAGTCTAAGATCACAATAATTATAAAATGAAAATTAAACCAAATTGTAATTAGATCAAAAAGGTTAATAAGCGTTATTAGTCCGATCTAATTTATCACATTGTATATATCATTTTTTTTTATTATTTACAATCCAATTACTGAAAGTGGATAACACATAACACTTTGATAAATGTTACGAAATACATTAAATGAGTAAACAAAAGAAAAATAGAACTCAAACTATGGAATAAGAAAACAAAATATATACAGGATGTTCAAAAAGTGAGAAAACAGGTCATTTGTTACAAATAATGAGAACAATAGTAACCTATTTCTTCGCTTACTGAACACTTTATATATAAGAAATGCTTGACATTCAATTACACGAGTATTTATTTTTTAATTACCCGTAATAAAAAAATCTTATCCATACTCCATACTACCCTTAAGTTATTAAGTATTAAGTATTGGTACATTAACTACTAATTAGGTATTTATTATAAGTAATAGAAAGAGTCAGTGGATAAATAATATCACTATTTATGTTGAATTATCTATTTCCATACAACCTGTTTCAAAAACCGTAAGATTACAGAACCTTTAATTATATAATTAAACAGATACTCATGGAAAAAGTGATAACACTTTTATTTTCAATTGTGCTCTATTATAGACTCATTGTCTTATATTACATAAACTATATTTTTTAAATTTAAATTAAAAAAAAAAATTATGAAAAAAGAAACAAATCAAGTGTATTAATAAGCCCAAGAAATAGTGTTTTCCAATTAATAGTATTAATAGTATACTAATAAATATAACTCTTTTTAATAAATTATAATGGAATTACTTTTTGATTTCCTCTTATTTGCTAACATCTAATATCCGAACGCGCCGGTAATCACCGTGTTTTCAGGTAGACAAATTAATATAAAACAAAGTTATGTCATTATGTGACATAATAAAAAAAATTTCCGATCAATAGAAAGTAAAAATGTGCCAAGTATCTAGCCNTTCCGATCAATAGAAAGTAAAAATATGCCAAGTATCTAGCCTTCATTTTTAGGACTTTGTTTACACTCGGTATTCAATTTGTAGGGCTTTTTTTACTCAATATTTTGTATTTTTTCTACCCTTAAAAAATTATTATGTCATATGACAATATTTTTAATCATAGCTTTATAACTTGGGTCTTATGGACGATTCTTCTTTAAAAAAAAAACTAGAGATAAATGAAAAACCTGATAAAGTTAAAAGTTTGTTAGTTCTTTTATAAAATACCTAAAAATCTCTCAAATACAATCAAAAACAGCTTAACATCCTACTCGTGCATAAATAATTGGGCTGGCGAGTCCAATTATTTAATGCACGAGTAAATGGTAAACAATATATTGTTGTCGAAAATTATTATTTTGAACATTAGTTAAATAATAAATTTTAAAATGAAAATTGTAAAAAATAAAAAAATTCCTAACAGATTTTAATTCATAAAGACCAAAGATGTAAAATCAAGTAAACATTTCCACATTTTTTACTCAGAAAGATCTAAATTGTATTTTAATTTTGATAAAGCAGCGTCGACATTTACAGCCTCGTTTTTTTCGCTTGAAAAAATATTTACAAGTAAATTTATCATCGTTTTAATTTATAATAGATGAGTAGTACAAATACATCTATTTTTTTTTTTTTATGTATTATTATAAATAGTTATGTGTCAATAAGAAATAAAAGAGTTTATTGGTTATTTATAAATATCAAACTATTTTACCAAAAGTAGCAAAAAAAATGAATAATTATGATTACAACTAAAATTTCAGGATAAATTATATAAAAATTTATAACTTAGGTCATTAATTATAATTTTATTTAATACATAACTTTAATTAAATATATGATATTATATGATTAAATTAAAAATATATCATTATGAAACAATAAATTAAACACACTAAAATAATATTTTCTATTATCGAGAATGAATACTTTTATTTTCTAGAATGGAATATCGCATCTTAATAAAAAAGAAATAAACTCTTTAAATATTTAACTCGGATTTACGATAGAAAATTTAAATTTTTTTAACCTAATCCAAAGAACATTTTTTAAATGAACTATTTAATGAAAAAGTTTTTAGGTCATAACGAATCCGACATATTTTCAAAGTTGGATTTTACTAATCCATTTAAGATTTGGCTTTATTTCAAAAATTGTTGTTCACCACAAAACTAGTCTTCAAAATAACAACCAACAATTTTAATTAAATAGAAATACAAAAATCTTTTTACAATAGCTACTTGAAAATTTTAAATTTAAAGTTAAAGATTTTTAAAAATTGATTGGAGATCAATTAAAAATCTATATTAACCAAAATTTGACTAGCATGAATTTCTCAAAATATTGATATAAAATACTTTTTATGTAAATTATTGCTTATACTTAATTTTTCTTATAAGTTGGTCTTTTTAACCAAAAAAGAAGATTAATATCAAAAATATAATTTCTGATAATTTAGATTAAATGGTATACTATTCAAAATAAATAAGATATAAAATATAATAAATGAATACAAAAATATTTTAAAAAAATTATTTAGAATTTTAAATTTATATCAATTATAAAATTTTCTAGTATAAAAATAATATTACCGTTCTTTAAATTTAAAGGTAAGTTTTACACCGTTATTAAAATTGCACTTATTCTTCACTGCACTGCACTTCAAACGCATTAAACATTTATCGTTGTTATGTTTAAATTTTTAATTAATTATTAAGCATAATGGTATGGCGTTATTTGCAAAAACAAAATACTTTAAAAACTGTTTTTAAACTTTGTTTAAGAGGTAGAAAAAAGTTATATTCACATTAAAATATGAGAAACTACTCTAAAAGTTTATAATTGGTTCAAAACAAAAAAAAAATTAAAAATTAAAAATACCAATAAAAGTTTTTTGCTTCTTTACTGCTCAATATTAAATTTAATTTAATTTCATGTTTTCTCATCCGTATACTTTATTTTATTTTTTTTTTTTGTAGGGTGTTCTTATCAAGGCAACGGAGATAGTAAAAACAGTAATGGAGTAAGCGGTGGCAGGAATGTAAATGTGGTGAAACTGGACGTTGACCAATCTATTGGTCCACAATTTGACTCAGAAACACCTAGAAACGTAACAGCTCTAGAAGGAAAATCCGCATATTTGACATGCAAAGTCAACCACCTTGATAACAAAACGGTAAGTTAACAAAGAATATTCATTTTTTGAAACATAAAATATACTTTATCAAAAAAAATTCTTTCTATGATCTAATTTTAAATATTTTCATATTCTTTTTTTTATAATAAATATAATTACACAATCAAAAAGAACACCACAAGCGCTTTTACAGAATATTATATAAAAAACAATATTACAACATTATCCAGTATTTTACTTAATTTAAATAAAATAAAGGTATTAAAGGAAATATATGTATGTATAAAAATAAAAATTTTAAGTTTTAATCTTTGGTTTTATTAATGAAACTTTAAAGTCATTTTGGAAGAATTCTCAATATTCTTTCTAATTCGTTAAGTTTTACAAAAATTTATTCAATTAATTGCTATAGAAGACAAATCTTATTGGTTCAATAAGTAAATAAATGAACCGCTAAATTACGAACTTATATATAATAATACATACACAAATGTAAAAAAAACAATGCCTTATATTTGAAACATACTTATTTATTTTGTATTTTATCAGTTCTTGATCAAATTATACTCTCATGAGTTGTTTACTTCTTCTTTACAAAAAATCTCTTATGGTTTCTTGTATAAATATTGAACAACTATAGATTAAACTAAATGAAAAGTATAAATTGTAAAAATAAAGTGATTAGTCAATGGTATTCATAAGATATTGTTTTTGGTACAATATACTCCTTTTATTTCCATTAATTATGCATTTATGATTAATCATTAGTATAGTGTTAAAATGAAGGAGATGCATTTGAATAACAATGAAACATTAAAACGATAACGAATTTGATATTTTATTTTTTTTATTTGCACAATAAATACAGATAAATGATCCATTGAGAAAGCTTATACGTTTAATGAGCAAAATAACAGTAAATTCTCGACTATGTCTAGTGTTATTGTGCAACTATCTTTCAGCGTCGGTTCAGTCCGATACCACATTTACCAACATACTCAACCTCTGTACAATAATTATAGCTTCGTTGTCGACCATCGTTATTTTACCACTCTTATTTTATCTCTATTCAACATTCTACACTTGTTACCACAACATTTACGCAGCAACTAACATCCATCTCATTTTTATAAAAAAAAAGCTTAAACTATTTAGTGTGATTTTCGCAATAATATATTGCATATATTATTACTCATAATCCCTTATTTGCCACCTTAACTATCTAAAGAATGCTTAAAAAAAAATCAGTTACCTTCTTTCGCCCATTAATAAAACCTCTAGCTTCTAGGAAATTCTTTATTAGTAAAAAAAAATATATTTCAATACGTTCAAGTACTAACTACAGTATCGATACATTTTCTAGATAGACAAGAAAAATGTAAAGCCAAAAGTTTTATATTATTTCAAAAATAAATTGTTTATTAAATTTTGCCATCTATTACGAGATTCCCTCTATTATAAATTCGTACAATTATAAAACACTTGATATTAGATCTATTACTTTTTTTAACGATAAAATAAACATAATTAAACATGAATTCCTCATGTATTAAATGAAATTAATTTTTCTTCGTGATATAAATTGAAGCACTATTTCATTTATAAAACTGCTGTTTAAATTTATTGCAAAAAAATGTTTGCACGTCAGGCTTTTAATTAATTTTTATGATCTTTTCTTGAAATAAACTATTTGCAATACAGCATAACGATTTTTATTAAAAACTTTTGCAGTCGGTTGGCTAATTTTACAAACATTAAAAATTAATATAATTCTATTCATTATAAAGTTGTCAAAGTTTTTGTAAAGAACAAACTTAAAAACTGAAAGTTTTCTGAAAAAAAAACAACTTAAATAGCTCGGTAATATTATGTCTAGTTTTAGCAAGAAAGTGTAAAATACTTAATAAAAATAGAAAAGCTTCACTTCGAAAAAAATCTTTGAATTTATTTTACTTTTTGTTAAACAATACTTTTAATAAAGATTTTTAAAAAAATTTATGATCACAAAACGTAATTCATTTTTATTTCTAATTATCGTAGAAGTATATTTTTTAACTGTTACTGAGTAATTTTATCAACATAAAACCTAACTAGTTGATGTTATTTCCTAGCTAATATATCCGACAAAATGTAAGTGTCCGGTACTTTCACCTCCGGTACTCAGAACTCGGAAGTAATCGTCTCAACGTTATTTCCAGCTTACATAGAAAACCCACCAACACATTTTGATCCAATTACCTGACTCAACCACTTCTTATTTCCAATATCCTTACCCAATGGATAATAAACATAGACAATATCCATGGTTAAAATTGTTGTATTTTATTTGTATTCACAACTAAAATTCTAACAATTACTTTATTTTTATTATCATAAAGTGGAAGGTAATATAGCTAATTTTAATTAGACATTAGACCTCGGAGTTTGTATGTAACGCATTTAGATTCAATTCAATTTACTTTTATAGAGTAATTTTCTTGTGTGACTATTGTGACCTCTTAAAAATATAGAACACAGTTGAATAAATAATGAGTTGTAAATACAATTAACTTACTTTAAAGTAAGTTTATTGTTTTTTGTAAATATAATTAATATTTTATATTCGCCTTTCATTAGGTGCATACTCAATTTTTCATTCAATATAAATAGATTTCTTTTCCCTATCAATTTACTGTTTATTTTTTTGTTAGCTTACCAATTCATGTAATAACTTTTACCAAGAAACCCAAACTAAAAGGACCTTTTCAGTTCACTATGCATCTATTCAATTTATTAATCATGACTTTTAACCTAGTTCTAAAAATTGTCATCTTACATTATTATTATGTTATATTATTTGTTGGTTCATTAAAATATCGACGGACGCAATCTAGATCGCTATTGTAAACGTTTATTTTATAGAAAGTACAAATAAAATAAAATTTATTTTTTCTCTCCGTAACTTAATTATAAATAAATTACAAGTTATACAACACTTTATCTTTTCCAGTTGGTAACATAATTTTTATTAAACTAAAATTATGTACCAAGAAGTAATTTAGATTTTAAAATTCTACAAATTAATTAAATAATGTACACCTTCTTATGTATATCACCTAATTTCACAAACTTAATTAGTTCGATAGGATGTCAGTTTTCATACTGTTAAGTGAATACTCGACATTGAAGTTTTCTCATTAAATTATTCAATTAACTTATTAATTTTAGAAAAACAAACAATGATTTTTCTATGATTTCGCGTTCTTACTTCAAATAATGGAATATATTATTCTCAAATTATGTATTGTATTTATTTATTTTACGTAAATAAGTTTTGTCACGATGCCGAATCTTAATTAATCGATTTTTAATTTAGTTAAGTGTGCCCAGTTTGTACGAGAAAACATTTACCGAGTACCAAAATTATCTATAGATTTTTAATTAGATGGAGAACCAAATAAATATATGTAGAAAATTAAAATCTACAGTAAAAAAATGATCCATGAACATATTATTTCATTAAATTAATCGTTTTTTATTAATTATAATAAATAAACATTATTTTATTTAATAGTATTTTAATTTTCTACTGAATTCAAAAATAAAAGTATAAAAAATATGTATATTATCTCTTGTCAGATTATTTATTTATAAAAAAAAAAATTTACAAAAAATTAATTTGAAAAACTTTTTAGAAATTAATTATACAATTATATTTTAATAATAAGAATTAAAAACCAATAATTAAATTTTTACCTAATATTTTCATAAATTTTGATTATATTCACGAACAGTAAATATATACGATAAATGTTTATAGTGTAAATAATACTTTAAATCAATGCACCGTCCTTTCAATTGAAATTGATCAAGCGTAGAACCCTTTTATTTAAATTTCTTATTTCAGTTCCCATAACACCAATGTTTTTTATATAGTGGAACTATTCACTACAACATTCTATTTAAATAGGATTTATTTATGAAATTTGATGTCTCTAGGAAGCATGGATATAAATGCATTTTCGCAGGTACTTTATAAATAATTTATTTAGGTGAACCTAAATAAAAAATACTTATTATTAGCCCCGCAGCAAAATTTGTCATAAAACTATAAAATATATAATTGTTTGGTTATAATACAATTTACTGATTTTCGATTACTTTCACACCCAAGAAATTTAATGATACATTCTATAGTCTTTTAAATTATTCATTAGTTTTGATCTCGAGGAAAATATTTTTATGTAAATAAATCTATACTAATTATACTTATAAGCAAAATATGCTGTATATATCTTATACTATCAATATTGTGGAATCTTAAATATGGAATTCACCTGTGAAGATTAATATTCTTGTTAAACTTAATATCAACATTGAAATAGTTTAGCTTAATATAATAACTTTGACAATCAAGCAAATTGTTTTGTTTTTATTTTAAAGTCAGTTTTACAATGTAGTATATACCACACAAAATATGTGATGTCTTTTAAGTAAGTAAAACTTATCCATTATGCTATAAAGTTAGTATCTTGAGTATTCCCATTAAGGAAAAGTTTCACCGAATTTTCAATAAAATTACACAATTACAAAATTTTCTTAGAATTTTAACTAAATATTAGTATTAACTACAGTTAGTTTTAGGATATATAAACATTTAAAACTTGTTGTTTGAATGTTTTGATTATATTTAACTAAGTATGTATGATCATATTTTGTTTTAACATTAAAATTTATATTTATTTACATTATTTTACTTAATTACTCTATGTAAAAAACAAATGAAAAAAGGGTAAGCTGCATCTTTAAATTTTAAATAAAACCAATACTTATTGAATTTTTAGTCACATATTACTTTTTAATTTTATTTTTTTCCAAATAAAATAAAGACTTTTTTTGTGACGATTTTGCTGTTATAAGTGTATGAACATTTTTATTAATTTAAATTAAAGTTAAATTTGAAAAAAGTTCAATTAATTCAAACAAAAACAAAAAACTACATTTATTTTCATTTACGGTTTAAAAAATTATGTGTTGAACCAGCTTGTTATAGAGCTTTG